TGTGCTGCGACATGCACCACTTTTGTCATACTTATCTTTGAATTCCTTTATCTAAATTCAAAAGGGTTTCGTTTTGGGTCCAAAGTTTTTACATGTTTTCTTACTGGGGTGTGCTACGGTACAAAGCAAATACATGTATACATAAAATACTAAGTAATTATTAATATTAATAAATTAACGCTTATCACGTGCTTTGCATTTTCCTTGCATACGAAAAGAAATCCCGTTTTGCTTTTGGCAATCGCACAAGCAATTGAATTGGTGTTTTTCAGTGGTCCCAAATCAACAATTTGACTCACTCAGTGTGTATATACATATATATCTCACATCGTTTATATCTTAATTAAAATTTAGAATAATTTTATATATGAATTTAATTAAACATAAATATATTATTTATGAACTTAATTAAACATCGTTTATGCCTGAAAATTTGGATGATTTCGTTTAATTTTTTTTTTAATTTTATCAAATTTAAAAGTTAGCATAACAATTTGAATCTTTTCATACTTTTAAAGAAATAAAAATGACGTGTCTTTTCAAGTTTTGATGAGACGTTTTAATTACGTGGGTGGTCACGAGGCACATCAGTTTTATCTTTGCAAAGACCCATTTGACCTTTTACACAATGGGCAGTCGGGCCCATGAAAAGCTAACAAAGGACGCGTGGACGGCATTAAGTTGACATTTTGGCCCTAGCCAGGGCTTGGGACATCGACGTCCGACGAAGATTCTAAGTTAGATATTTTATAAAATAAAAAAATATTTATTTAATATTTTTTTTGAGTAAATTATAAATTAATTCTTTTTGTTTTAAAAAATAAATTAATTCATTCCTCTAGTTTTAAAAACTAATTATTTAATATTTTTTTATTTTTTAATTTATTTTAATTTTTTAAAAAATAAAAATAAAAAATAAAAAATTAGTTATTGTTAATATAAGTTAAAAGAACTAAATAATTATTTTAAAACCAGATGATTAATTAATTTTTTTTTCAAAACCAAAGGAGCTAACTTATAATTTACTTTCCTTTTTGTAGGAAAAAAAACTAATAAGAATGAATAAGTATTGACATTTATTTTTAAAATTTTTTATAAATCAAAACTTGAATTGTAAAAACTTATTTATGCCGAAATTAAAATTTTTATTTTTATAACTTAAATTAAGAGTAATTTATAAATTACTTTTTCTAATTTTTAAAAACAAATAAATACTTTTTTATTTCAAAATTAATTAATTCATTCATTTATTAATGTTGAGTATAGTTAATTTAATATTATTCTATTTAAATTTTTTTCTTTTCTCATTAACTCTGTCGTATTTTTTATGTTTTTTTATTTTTTAAAATAAAAAGCTAGAATAAATTAACAAAAAAGAATTAATTTATAAATATAAAATTAATTAATTAGTTTTGAAATAAAAAAATATTTAATTCGTTTTGAAAAACGAAAGAGACTAATTTATGCATTTCCTGGCAATAGCGTCAACGAAAAGTGAAAAAAAAAAACAATTTATGCATTTTCATTTCATATAAAAGAATCACTCAAGTCAAAACTTTGATGTATTAATTAGCTATATTACTCTAATGACTTTTCTCAAACTGTTGCAATGGTCAGCAAGTTCAACGACATCCATCCTTTGCTCATTGGATGGACGGCGGTTCCCCTTTATTGCTAACGTTCTTATAGCCATGGAAAAACTGGGGCCTTAGGCTCAATTTCGGGTCTCTTTCAGAACATTATTAACTACCCCAACGTGTTGCACGCTGTCTGCCCCGACGTATTGTTACGTGTCTTAAAATATTCAAAAGCAAGCACATTATGGTCAAACTGATGAGATGCCTCCCCAATCAATGCTATTAACACAAACATCATCCTCTCACAATTCTAATATCCCAAAATATAACTAGTTAATTTTTTTATTGAATGCTTGGACAGACAGGGATTTGAAATGTATGATAGACTAGAGATAGAGGACTAAAAAGACAAATCTTCCCAGTAATATGAATGGTCTGGGACGTTAAAATACTTGCATATGGAGCGTCATAGGGCCCCAAGTGGGATTTGTTCTGCTTTTGTTGTTTTATCCTATCACTTATACTCTTTTTGCCCTGCAACCTTTCCATTTTATTCCTCTGTGGGAGTGATTGGGCATTAGTATTGAATTTTATCTACTCAATCAATTCAGTAACAAGGATAAGGGAAGAACAGGATGGACATTCCTAGTTCGAAACCCTTTTGGTGCGCTTTATGGAGTATTAATCAACAGTATCCGGCTTATCGCATTTTCATCTTCATACGGAGAAATTTGTTTTACTGAAAAAGTCTTCCTAAACCCCATCTAGAGAAATCTCATCTATTGGAATGAGACAGACTAACAACATATTCAAGGCTCAATCTTCAACCCCACAACATTTCCAGGCTCCCCATTTCCCATATTAACCCACCCAAGAAACTTATTTCATTTTCTAAAAACCTTGGCATTCTCATTCATGGGTCCACACCACAAGACAACATATCACTTGCCATCACTACCACTCATAAGTCATAATGACAGAGTTGACGGTGATAAATTTATCAAAGAAATTGAAGATGGGAAGGAAGCTTGGTACGAAGAGTGGGAGTGTCCTGGAATCAGAAATCTATGGTGTAAGCGGAGATCAAGGGGATATAGTTAAAATTCATGTGGAGATGGATGTGAAAAAGGCGCTGAAACAAGGATTTAATTTAGCTGGGAATGGAGTAGGGAAGTTTTGAGTTGACTTGAAGTATGATAAACTCCCCCTCTTTTGTAGCTAGTTTAGCCATGACCATAAGTTTTATAGTCTCACATTTGTTCATGAGGCTGAGGGGCATCTTTGGAACCTTTTGTTTTTCCAACAAACTGAAGGCATATCAAATTGGTGGGATTATTGAGAACGCAAAGTCCAGGAGAGTAGCAAGAGTCATTAAATGCTCCGAGGACTAACGATGTTGACAATGTCAGAAAAGAAAGCTCAACAACATAACAGTGATATTTCCGCTAAAAATGCTGTTTTAGGGGAGAAATTAAATATTTTCTCCTTAACAGCTGCACCAGATCAAGAGGCATTAAATTGTAAACGTATTTCCAACAAAGATAGGCCAGTTTCGAAAATCTCCTCCGACAAACCATCCTCAAGTAATTCATTGCAGAACTTCAATCGCTCTAATTCAAGCCTCATTGAATTGGTCCAAAGGTTAATTTGTATGCAAATAATATGTAATTTACAAAAAAAAAAAAATGTTTTAGATAACTGTTAATTACCATGACCACTCTTTATTTTGGACGTCCTTTCACTTCGCACTGTATTTTGAAAACCTTACATTTTCCACCTTCTATCTTCTTTATTATTGCACTTTCTATCTTAATTTTGTTATGAATATGTTAGTTGATGGTCAGAAATTGAGTTGAAATTTAGTCAAAATGTTATAAAATAATTAAATAACTTCTGAAAAGATAATGAATTCTTGGAATAAATATGCAAAATGCCGATTTAGAATTAAAAAGGTTAATTAGAAAAACTCGTTCATTCCATTCCATCTCATTTCGTTATTAATAGTAAAAATCAAGCAAAATATTTTTCTTCCATTCCTAAGTAAGCATATCCTTTATTTTTTTATTTTTTTTATGATTTATTATAAAAATATATTGAAAAAGTGAGAAATCTAACCAATAAAATCTTCAACACTCGCAATTAATCATTGATCAATCAAATCTGAAACTTCCACTTAATTAGTTAAGAAAGTGATTCAATAACACTTACACAAGCAATCGATAAACATCGAAATCACAAGAGTTTCTTTCTCTCTTTTCTTTTTTGAAGTCTATCTTGGCATCACATTAAACATAATAATAACAAAAACATCTTATTAAATCAAAACCATTAATTATACAAGTTTATATTTCAACTAAGAACTACACGGACCTGCTCCAACCACTTACACAAGCAATTGATAAACATTGAAATCACAAGAGTTTCTTTCTCTCTTTTCTTTTTTGAAGTCTATCTTGGTATCACATTAAACATAATAATAACAAAAACATCTTATTAAATCAAAACCATTAATTATACAAGTTTATATTCCAACTAAGAAATACACGGACTCGCTCCAACCACACAAACTTATAGTCTATCTTCCCATTTTTAAGGTTCAAGAGTCTTCAACCAAGAGCACACCCGAAGACTAATATTTTTCTTACATAGGTACTTGCTCAAGATACAATGAGGTGCAATAATCTTTCAAACTTGAGGGAATTGTGTAAGCATCATCACCACCCCCATACATAACATCGGTTACTCGAATAAGGTTGACATAGTTTTGAAGGAGAAGCATGGGGACATTGGTTGGCCTTATGCAATCTTCATTAATGTCTTTCCATGCATCTGCATCTATCTTTTGTATCGCTTCAATTGCTTCTTTTTCCGAGACATCATATTGTTTCATATAGCATTCGACACCGGATGCACAATCTCTCCTTTTTTGTTCGAACCTACAAATATATACTAGATGTTATAATGATTGAAACAGAAATTTATAGAGTTATATAGTTGAAATTAGATTCCATTTAAATAACTTAAATCTTATGGTAGACATTCTCTTCTCAAACTTACATTATTATCATATTTAGTTTAACTATTCAAGATTAGATATATTATCTAAAACTTCCTTTACTTGCTCGTTAATCTTTTGAAATTTATCAAATGGTTTGAGTTCAAGAATTTTTATTGGATCGTTTGATCTCTTTTAAACTTTGATACCTTATAAAATTAGATAGTTGAGATTGAATTTAATTCAAAAAAGTAAGATTTATGGTGCTCAAATTTATATATTCTACATTTTTTATTTACCTACTACGTATGAGTTATGTTCTCTCACAAAACTTAACGTCACGAATCCAAAACTAATAAAGATTGGGAAGAAACACAAGGATAGTCATGAGTTGAGCCATGGATGAAAACAATTGAAATTTATATGCATCATACCTCGTGGCTTACTATGTCATTCATTAAACGACCGATCATCTTTCCAGCTCTAACAATTTTTGGATTACTTTTTAGCCATTCATATTCTTCCACTCCTGCAACTTCTTCCATCCCGAGGAAGGATGCTGCCATAATTACCCCATAAACAGTTGTGGTTAATCCATTCCGCACGTACTCATCGAATGTTGGGACATGGCCTTTAGCTGCCCATTGCGCCTCTACATGGTAGGCTCCCACCAAATCTTTGAACTAATAGCATACCCAGCAAAACCAAGATTGTGTGATAAAAAATAAGCAATATTTCTATAAATATACAATACCCGTAGAGTATGAAGGAGTAACAATGGCAATGGATAGGTACTCGATTCATTAATTTAATTTTTTATCTTATCTATAAAAATTATTTTTTATTCTATTTATAAAAATTATACTTTACCCATTACCCATTACGAAATCATTATATAAATTTTTACTCAATTTATACTTGATCCACATTTACCCACCTATTTAGTACTTATTTAATACTCGTTAAAAATAATTTATCAAAAATATTCTTTTTAATCCCCATAATTAAAAAAAAAATTGTTCCTTAAAATTTAATGTTTTACATTTTGATAATTTATTTATAAGTTTTTTTGTCTTCAAAGTTTTTGAAAAACAATATTTTGGTTCTTAATTTTTAAAGTTTATGCAATTAGATTCATGTATGTTACTAAAAAAATTAAAATAAATTAGTGGATACTAATAAGATAAAGAGTGGATATTCATATCCTATTTGTGAATAGGTGTTTTTTTTTTTTTTTACCGTTATCTTAACAGGTATTTATTGAGTGATGTAAAATACATATCCGTTTTGTACCCGGCCATTGCCATTCCTATGCATGAGCCTAGAAAAATCTTACTTCCTCCTTCACATAATATGCAGCGTAGGATCTTCCTTGCTTGCTCATTTCATTCTCAGTTTCTTTGAAAAGATTCAAAATAGCTCTGTAAAGAACTTTCATGTAATCTGCGGGTAGCAGATCAATGGCATCCATGCAGCATCTGATATTTAAAAAGAAAACCATTTATCCTTTCTTGAACGTCTTTATACGATTTAATTGAATGTTTATGTTTAAGAAAGATGTAGAAAAGAAAGAAACCAAACCTCTCAATCGCATTTCTAAACTGCTGGACTTCTTCAAGAGCTGCATACGCATCACATGTATCATCTACTACTGACGCAAACTTTGTATATTTCGTGACCATCATCCGAGGAAAAGCATATTAAGGCTCGAAATGGATTCCATTTGCCCAGAAATAGATCCGTTAGAGACTAATATAAATTATATTCTAGGGCCTCACCTATCGCCTTAAGCTTTTAGGTGAGATGGTCCTTTAATACGGTATCGAGCCTAGTTGGCCTCGAAGTCTTGAGTTCAAGTCTCACAATCCCCAATTTCTCAAATATTAAGCACAAGCAATGTGGACTCGTGCAAGTTTCATGCCTCAAATGTTGGGCCTTTCACTGAGGGTGTGTTAGTAGACTAATATAAATTATATTCTGAGGCCTCACCTATCAGCTTAAGCTTTTAGGTGAGATGGTCCTTTAACTCCACAAGTCTATCTCTTGCATAAGGAAACTCTTCAGCAAAATTTAAATCATTCCACCACCTGAAATGTTAATTTCCAAAAAAAGTTGATCTGATTAATGGGTGGCCTGCCTCCATTTTCAGGTATCTTTCCTCAAACTCACACAAAAAGTTACCTCGAGAGAATGCAAAGTTCTTGTCGATGAAGTAACTGAACTCTATTGAAGTCTATCTTGGCAAACTTGAGTAGAGTATCGTTCCGAGACTCATCTTCTTCGTAGAAAGAGATGTATTTTCTAGCCTCAATTCTTGGCACGCCTTTGTGGAAGGGCCGGACCAAAGCATTCCTAATATGGTTTGCAAGATGCGGGCTTGATTTCATAGTCAAGGACTTCAGGTTTTCCCTTGTGAATGCAAGGGCTTCATCCAGAATATCTTCTCCATGCACACTTAAAAATGAAGCTTCATACAAGCCAAGGATGCCTTTCACATCGTTGATAATGGTTTCCTTAAACTCTCCATTGGTGTCCGTGAACTTGTCGAACACAGCTGATTCATAAAAGGTTACAAACCAATTGTCAAAAGCTACGTGTAGATTATGAGTGATGAATTTTTTGTTTCAGAAATATTTTGCTACAAACATATTATTTTTCTTCATTTTTTTTTCTTTTCATTCATTCAGATCTCTTCCGCTACGTGGATTCTGTCATAATATTTCTTTCTTCTAAAAAAAGGAAGAAAAGGATCTTAATTCTTCGGTGGATCCCATGGAACCTCCCACTGGAAAAAAGAAAAAAGAAGGAACATTCACGTTTAAAAGACTGTAAAGTGTAGGCACTCACCACAAGGCAATTTGTATCCATGTTGCCTGAATACTCGAAATACGACTGATACAGTGTAGAGGTCATAGTCATGATTCTTCAGAAGATTTGGAAAGTCATGGAAAATTTGTTTTAGGTTGTTTTCAATCTCTTTTTCAAAATGATATGAAACACCAAGGCGGCATAACAAATTGATGAACTGAATATTTTCCACTGGGTCGTTTTTGGAAGCCCTTAACATATCCTTTGTATTGTCCTTCAACACGTCTACTTCTCGGGTGTATGTCTCGAATTCCTGCAGTAAAATATTGAGTGAGTAAAAATCTACTCACATTTATGCTATTAAATCAACTAATACAAATAAAAATGAGCTTGGTTGTTTTTTTTTTCTCTCCCTCTTACATGGTCAGGAATATTCATTTTTGTACATAAATAGTTCGTACTTTTATTTATTTATTTTCATAGATAAGATGTTGCAACTCACAGTGAATAGTTAAACAGATAAAAGATTAGTTTTAATAATTATAAATCAGTCCAACAAGTAAGAAGATTCATATTATTATGACGGATTGAATTGGTTACTACAATAAAGACGATGTATTATTTTATTCTCTTTTTATAATGATTTTTTTTAAAAATAAAAATTCAAATACTTAAAAAAAGGAATATAAATCAGTGACCTCTTAAAAATACAAAGGTTTATTGTTAATATTTGTTTTTATCTTTAATCAATATATGGACTTATAATGACGTTTAAGAACCAATCTAAATAGGGCTAAGGGTGGCTGAGGTAAAAAATAAATTAAAATAAATAAATAAAAATCTCAAATAATCTTTGTGAAAACTCCAAAATTTGAATTTGTATCAGATGGCCTTAAATATAAATTGAGATTATTAGTAATTCACAACGTGTTTTTTTTTTTTTACTCCATTGATAATGGATTTTATAGAACTTTACTTAATCAGAACACAGAGATTTTGTTTAAAATAAACGTAATGACTAGACATAAATATGACTACTTTAACATTGATATGCATGTGAGAAGAATGGCAACACAATATCTGATTTTATTAAAAAAAAAAAATGAACAAACAAACTGTTAAGACATATATAAGAGAAGAAGTAATATACCTTTTGAGGGAAAGAAAATGAAGCAAAGCTACAACCCCACAAGGTTGGAGGAAAATTTGCCACTCGACGAGAATTGTTTTCCATTTTTCGAAGTAAAGTGGAGACCTATACTTTTATGCTTGACTATGTAAAGCACCAAATTAGGGAAGGCTATTTATAGAGAAAATAGCATTACATTTTGGTCATAAACTATCATGTCTTAAAACGTACTTAGATTTGGCAATCTAAGATGATGAGTGGTTTGTTGTCGAGATTTTGTATTGATTTGTGTCATTGATGTGAGATACTTTTTCTAGTGTTTTTCTTCATTTAAAATTTATTTTTTGGTGTTGTCAAGTAATTTAAATTTTCAAAATCTTTGATATACCATTCCACATCTTTAAATATTAAATACCATATCTGAATTTCACTTAAAAGACTTAATTTTTTTGATTGGTTTCTTATTCTCAATCTTTTATATTGATTTATTTTCTTGTATTTATTCGTGATATTTTTTTAAAGTAATTATAAAAAACTATCTCAATCGTAAATAATTTAATTATTATAATTCTGATATTAAAAAAATAATAAATTTAAAAAGTTAAAATGTTGGATTATGTAAAATTAGTTTTATATTAACTCTAACAATAATCATGTTGGTATTGGACAAAAATTTACCCAAATCGGGGATGGATTTTTTCTTAAGCTGAATGCAACAATGATCTATTATAGAAAGACCATAATATTATGAGAAATATCCTTTAGTATGACCTATATGTATGTCTTATTTAAATTAACACTAATTTTTTATTATATATATTTATGTTGAATAAATTTTACAAGTAACAATTAAAGACTGAGAGTATATTATATTCTACTAGTGTGCTAAACACGTAAAAATTAAATGATAGAAAGGGTTTCAGTCTAACCATATAATATTAAGTAAAATAAAATTAAATGATAGAAAGGGTTTCAGTCTAACCATATAATATTAAGTAAAATCTCACATCCCCATCAATCCAAAGAAAATTTTAAAATATTGTTATAGATTAACATGTTTTACTTCTTGACGGCATTAACATGTTTGTTCGTCTTGATGGCACTAATTTTTGTTGTATAGTTGCTTAAATACTATTCAATTTGTCTGAAGATATTTATCTCATTAATTTTCGCTGCAATAATATGTTTGAGCAAATTTAATTATCGTAGGTACGATATCGCCATCTTCTTACTATTTTATTTAGTGCATGATTGATTATGGCTGCTACTAAAGAGACATTATGCGACATCATTGGTTCAACCAGGACCACAAGCTTATTGATTTGACACGGCGGCAGAAGAAATTGGACAAAGGCTTGAGGCGTCTGCCTTGTTTGTTTACCAGACAAAGGCCATGTCAGGGCGAAACATCAAAAGAAACTAAAAAAACGTGTTTTTTGAACAATAATTACTGTTCATAAATTATTTACATATCTGAAATTTCTATTCATATATGGCAATTTAAGCAATTTTTATGTGGTTTTTAATTTTTTTTTTTAGTATTAATATGTAAATTTAACATTTTTTTTTCTATTTTCATCCCTCATGTTGTAATATATTTTTTTTTCAATTCTTAACTTTCGTTTTCCTTTCATTTTCATGCAACATGTGAAAATTAACATATACTTCAGTTTATATTACTGTTATTATTTAAATTTTATTATCTGAATTTATCATTTTTCATAAAATTCTCATTCAATTAATATTTTTTATATAGAATTTTATTTACGGATAAATATAATTTATTTTTCTCTATATTTGAATTTTAGAATAAAATTTTAAAACATGATTTTTTTTCTTTTTAAAAAATAAATTAATATAATATATATCATGAATTCTCAGAATTTTTAAATGATAATTGTATATGTATAAATATATAATTATTTTATTCTAAAATGTTAAAAGTATATTTCAAATAATTTGTCTCAATTCCTTAGGTATAATCAAAATGTATAAAAAAAACCAATTGAATCATTGCTTTTATTAAAAATTAACCATACATCTTCCAACATAATACAAATTATTTGCTATGAATAGTTTTTTAACATTATAGAACAAATTTATTTGAAATAAAATAATTTTTTAAAGAAATCAACCAATTATTCGAATACAGCTTTTATGTCAATATTGTTGATTATTTTCTAATTACATATTTGTAGATGAAATGCATATACTTAAAAAAAAAAAAAAATCTTCTCACCAACATTAAATCAGAATAAAATTTTATTTTTTCATTAATTGAAACTTTATTTTTTAGATACATTCATATATATATTTAAAGTATTTGTTTTTGAATTCTTAATTACTATTTCGAGGTTTAAATTATTACAATTTTTTACTTTAAAAATCCATGAATAAAAAAGAATAAATCATTTTTTTAAGTAGAAATTTTATGAAAAACACAAATAAAAAAATTAATAATTAAATTATAAAATTAATGAAAAAATTATAAAATTATTTTTCTCTATTTACCCGTAGCATTAAACGGATAATTTAAAAAATTAATCTTCTCATCAGCAATAAATAAGAGTTTTTTATTTTCATTTGTTAATTTTTATAAAAATCTGTCCATTAATTATAATTTTATTTTTTGGAATACAATATTATGAAAAATATATTTTAATTTTTTTAATTCTTGATTAATATTTCGGTTAGAATTATTATAAGCTTTTATTTTAAAATCAATCCATAAAGAAGAATGAATTATGTTTTTTTAAGTGGTAAATTTATGAAAATAATTAGAAAAAACTAATTAGATGAATTTTAATTAAAAAATTATAAAATTTTAAATGATTTTATTCTGTCGGACACGCAGCGTAACGCAAGCAACCTCGCTACTTATTTCTATATTACCATATCATTTTGAATATATATATATATATTCAAGCATGGTCACGAGCATGGTTGTGCAAGGTGAATATTTATATGCATATATTTTGAGTTTTTATTGTCATTGTCATAACCAAAAAATTACATCCATTTTACAATTTTAATTTTTAGTCATATTTTTCTTTTATTTATTACTTATTTTAGTTTATTTCACTTTTATTTGAAATATTTTTATTTGAGGGGAAGAAAAACGTAAAAACAAAAACACAAAAAAAGAAAAAATATAGAAAATATATAAAAAAATTCATCAAGGAACACAATCGCATTAAAAGAAATTGTAATTAAAGTATTCAGGGATACAATTGAATCAATTAAAAACTTCAGAACTTGAATCACTCTCTATAGGGGCCCAATTGATAAACAATATACTTTACAAGACTGAAATTACATAAAAGGGGCATGATTGTAGATAATTAAAATTTAAAGGGACCAAAGGTGAACTGTGGAGATAATAACAGGACTAAAATCAACTAGACGACCTGTTGTCCACTCCAACCCAGAATCTCTTCGAAAATCTTTCAGCAATCTTTCCAAATCTCCCACTGATTATTTTTTTTGAAATCCATTTGCTTTGATTCTTAGCTGGACTTGATAGGGGAGCGAACAGGGGAGGAAGAATTCTGGGTTGAACGAGAGTGAAAAGCAAGAAAAAGGATTGAAGTTTGAAAGATTTTTATTTTATTTTTGTTTCTGCAGTTCTGGGTTTTTCTGGGTTTTAGTTTGGTGTCTTCATTTTCTGGGTTTTCGTTCTTCATCAATGGGGCGGTTCAATTCGTTTTTCTTTGCTTCCTTGGGTATTGTGTTAAATTTTCCATTTTTATTCAACCCAATTCATTAATTCCTTGTGTCTACTTTGCATTTTTTGGGGTTTCTTTCAAAATTTTCTAGGCAGGAGTTCATCCGTCATTCATTGTTCTTCAAGTGTCTGGGTTTGGCTTCTGGGCAGTTTGCGAATTCCTGGGTTTTGACTTCAATTTCTTGGTTTCATTTAAGTCTTTTGGATTCGGGAAACATCAAGAACCCATTTCTATAAACATCTGTTAGCTTCATTTTTTGGCCAATGGATCAAGGCCAAGCAACCTGTCCTAAGTTCACAATCATCCAACACAACGAAACAAGTCAATTATTCTATTCCGTTTCATCTAGCATCGTCCAGATAATCAAAATTTTTCTCTTTATTTTCTGTTACTGCCTAGATCACGTTCGTTCCATCCAAGCACAGGGAAGAGGGTCACTGCCCTCAACAAGTCTTCTTCCCCCAGTCCTTATGAAGATGTAGTCAATGATAGACTCGAGGGATTGATAATTAATTTAAGAATTTTAGTTGATAGAGAGATGAATTTCGAAGCAGAATGAATTAGAGAGAGAGAGAGAGAGAGAGAGACAGGATGTTGTTTGATCGAAAATAGAAATGGAAACAAATGAGTTTTTATTTCTGGACTTTGTTTGAGCCTAGAGAAAACCGTGTGGGTTGGGCGAACAAGGGGCTAGGCTAGTTTCATCCCAGCCCAGCCCAGAATTCTTTTTTTTTTTTTTGAAAAAAGAGAGAAGTAAATGAGAAGCTGGAACTAGTCCAGCTTCACCCAAAAAGTAAAATAATAATAATAATAATGATAAAGATAAATATGCAAGGCATAGTGGACTGGAATTTGTCCAGTAAGTAAAAGAAAAAGAAAAAAGTAGAAAGGAATAACGCATAGGTCAATGGGCCTAGCCTTATCGGTCCGACCCAATTTGCAAAAGGACACGTTCTTTTTTATTTCATGCTTTGGTTTCATTTTTTATATAGATAAATTTAATCTGAATGTTTTTTTTTATTTATGAAATTTTATTTCTTGCATTAATTTAGATTTAATTTTTTTAAATGCCCTTGAATTTATTTAGTAAAATGTTTAATTTTAGATTTTACTTCAATAATTAGCTTAGATAACTAAACGGTAGATGAATTGGCTAGTTTTCTAATTTTTTTCGAGACCGATAACGATTCCGCAATGATTAAATTTTAAAAAATAATAATAAAAAGCTAATAGTTAATTTTAATTTTAAGATTTTATTTCATAATTAGTTTAATAATTAATAGGTGGATGAATTGTCGAGTCTCCTAATTCTTAGGGACTTATGATGATTCCCTCACTGAATTACAAATCATCAACGTTTAATAATCAAGATATTCTTTCACACATTGGTTATATCGAGGTTTAAAGTAGGTCCGATGTTTAAACTAATGTGTCGCTTAACGAAGAAGACCGACAATCGTTTTAATACGATGGCGGGACAAACATCCTCACATGGGCAATAGGGATCGAACCTGACAGCATTTGCATTCCTTTCATACCACTTTTCAAGAATTCATTCCCTGCAATTTGTTGAAATGCCATAGGAAAAAACAATCATCTTTCAATTTGATTTAACATTTAACACCAATAATGGATACGTGGCAAAAGAGAAGGACCGATCGTAAAATTATCATCAAATTATTTTTTATAAAGTTTTATTTATTAATAAATATAATTTATTTTTATTTATATTAATTTTAAATATTTTTTTAATAATTAATCAATTAAAAAAATAAAATTCACGTGTTTTATTTGTTTATTTTTTATATAATCATCATTTATCAAAATCAATTTGATAATTAGTTTTATTGTAATATATTAATTTTAATATATTCCTTACAACTTAAGCTTTTTAAAAATATTTGTTAATTTATCATACACATTCTGATGCCCTCTCTCTCTATATAATTAATGTCTTTTACATTCATAAATATTTAAAAAGACTTTATATAGGATTGGTTGTTTTATTGTCGCTGCTGATTATACTGTATTTCATTGTATGTTACCAAGTGAAAATAGTGGTGATAACTGATTATGGTATTGTAATAATAAATATTTAAGTAGTATTTTTTTTTTAATTTCTATTGATGCATTTTTTACATATAGAATGACTAATAAGAATCGTAACATATTACAAATATTTTAACATTGCCGTTAGGGATTCTTCTTCTTCTTCCTTTTTTTTTTTTTTTTTTGCTGCTGGTCTTTTTCATTGTTATGTATCACTTAGTCCATGTTCCTCACTGATCTTAGGTAGACATCAGCTTCATCAAACCAAAATACATTTCTTTATTTCTTGTCAGAAGATGTTACATAACAAAACTAGCATGAATGGGTTGGGACTTCCAGTTGAAGTTTGCCCCTGATAAGAGCAACACTTCAATACAAGGATAAATGAACCAGCCAACCAGAAACCACACAACTATGTTCAACTAAAGCTAAAATAACAGAATGAAAAATATAAAAGAATAAAATGCATAAATAGGAAAAAGGGAAATCTATTGGTCACCGTTGTGTAGAAAAACTGTCAATCAGTACTCATCCTGGTGTATAGGAAGGCCCGCTCTTATCAGATATCATGAAGAACCTTAAATTTGACAGAACTGACTCTTAACAAATATTAGTCTCTTAAAATATCCAAAAGCAAGCACATTATGGTCAAACTGATGAGATGCCTCCCCAATCAATGCTATTAACATAAACATCATCCTCTTTCAATTCTAATATCCCAAAATATAACTAGTTAATTTTATATTGAATGCCTGGACAGACAAGAATTTGAAATGTATGGTAGACTAGAGATAGAGGACTAAAAAGACAAATCTTCCCAGTAATATGAATGGCCTGGGACATTAAAATACTTGCATATGGAGCATCATAGGGCCCCAAGTGGGAATTGTTCTGCTTTTGTTGTTTTATCCTATCATTTATGCCCTTTTTGCCCTGCAACCTTTCCATTTTATTCCTCTGCGGGAGTGATTGGGCATTGGTATTGAATTTTATCTACTCAATCAATTCAGTAACAAGGATAAGGGAAGAACAGGATGGGCATTCCTAGTTCGAAACCCTTTTGGTGCGCTTTATGGAGTGTTAATCAACAGTAGCCGGCTTATCGCATTTTCATCTTCATACGGAGAAATTTGTTTTACTGAAAAATTCTTCCTAACCCCCATCTAGAGAAATCTCATCTATTGGAATGAGACAGACTAACAACATATTCAAGGCTCAATCTTCAACCCCACAACATTTCCAGGCTCCCCATTTCCCATATTAACCCACCCAAGAAACTTATTTCATTTTCTAAAAACCTTGGCATTCTCATTCATGGGTCTACACCACAAGATAACATATCACTTGCCATCACTACCGCTCATAATGACAGAGTTGACAGTGATAAATTTACCAAAGAAATTGAAGATGGGAAGGAAGCTTGGTACGAAGAGTGGGAGTGTCCTGGAATCAGAAATCTAGGGTGTAAGCGGAGATCAAGGGGATATAGTTAAAATTCATGTGGAGATGGATGTGAAAAAGGCGCTGAAACAAGGATTTAATTTAGCTGGGAATGGAGGAGGGAAGTTTTGAGTTGACTTGAAGTATGATAAACTCCCCCTCTTTTGTAGCTAGTTTAACCATGACCATAAGTTTTATAATCTCAGATTTGTTCATGAGGCTGAAGGGCATCTTTGGAACCTTCTGTTTTTTCAACAAACTGAAGGCATATCAAGTTGGTGGGATTATTGAGAACGCAAAGTCCAGGAGAGTAGCAAGAGTCATTAAATGCTCCGAGGACTAACGATGTTGACAATGTCAGAAAAGAAAGCTCAACAACATAACAGTGATATTTCCGCTAAAAATGCTGTTTTAGGGGAGAAATTAAATATTTTCTCCTTAACAGCTGCACCAGATCAAGAGGCATTAAATGCTAAACGTATTTCCAACAAAGATAGTCCAATTTCGAAAATCTCCTCCGACAAACCATCCTCAAGTAATTCATTGCAGAACTTCAATCGCTCTAATTCAAGCCTCATTGAATTGGTCCAAAGGTTAATTTGTATGCAAATAATATGTAATTTACAAAAAAAAAAAAATGTTTTAGATAAGTGTTAATTACCATGGCCACTCTTTATTTTGGATGTCATTTCACTTTGCACTGTATTTTGAAAACCTTACATTTTCCACCTTCTATTTTCTTTATTATTGCACTTTCTATCTTAATTTTGTTATGAATATGTTAGTTGATGGTCAGAAATTGAGTTGAAATTTAGTCAAAATGTTATAAAATAATTAAATAACTTCTGAAAAGATAATGAATTCTTGGAATAAATATGCAAAATGCCGATTTAGAATTAAAAAGGTTAATTAGAAAAACTCGTTCATTCCATTCCATCTCATTTCGTTATTAATAGCAAAAATCAAGCAAAATATTTTTCTTCCATTCCTAACTAAGCATATCCTTTATTTTTTATTTTATTTTTATGATTTATTATAAAAATATATTGAAAAAGTGAGAAATCTAACTAATAAAATTTTCAACACTCGCAATTAATCATTGATCAATCAAGTCTGAAACTTCCACTTAATTAGTTGAGAAAGTCATTCAATAACACTTACACAAACAACCGATAAACATCAAAATCACAAGAGTTTCTTTCTCTCTTTTCTTTTTTGAAGTGAGTTTCTTTCTCTCTTTTCTTTTTTGAAGTCTATCTTGGCATCATATTAAACATAATAATAACAAAAACATCTTATTAAATCAAAACCATTATTTATACAAGTTTATATTCCAATTAAGAACTACACGGATCTGCTCCAACCACTTACACAAGCAATTACACAACCAATTGATAAACATTGAAATCACAAGAGTTTCTTTCTCTCTTTTCTTTTTTGAGGCCTATCTTGGCATCACATTAAACATAATAATAACAAAAACATCTTATTAAATCAAAACCATTAATTATACAAGTTTATATTCCAACTAAGAAATACACGGACCTGCTCCAACCACACAAACTTATAGTCTATCTTCCCATTTTTAAGGTTCAAGAGTCACCAACTCCTTTTATTACAAAACATTATGCAAACATTAATAGAGAGTTGATTTTTCCGCAAACATTCATAGGGAGTTCAACCAAGAGCACACCCGAAGACTAATATTTTTCTTACATAGGTACTTGCTCAAGATACAATGAGGTGCAATAATCTTTCAAACTTGAGGGAATTGTGTAAGCATCATCACCACCCCCATACATAACATCGGTTACTCGAATAAGGTTGACATAGTTTTGAAGGAGAAGCATGGGGACATTGGTTGGCCTTATGCAATCTTCATTAATGTCTTTCCATGCATTTGCATCTATCTTTTGTATCACTTCAATTGCTTCCTTTTTCGAGACATCATATTGTTTCATATAGCATTCGACACCGGATGCACAATCTCCCCTTTTTTGTTCAACCTACAAATATATACTAGATGTTATAATGATTAAAACATAAATTCATAGAGTCACATAGTTGAAATTAGATTCCATCTAAATAACTTAAATCTTATGGTAGACATTCTCTTCTCAAACTTACATTATTATCATATTTAGTTTAACTATTTAATATTAGATATATTATCTAAAACTTCCTTTATTTACTCGTCAATCTTTTAAAATTTATCAAATGGTTTGAGCTCTAGAATTTTTATTAGACCGTTTGGTCTTTTTTAAACTTTGATACCTTATAAAATTAGATAATTGAGATTAAATTTTATTCAAAAAATTAAGTTTTATGTTCTTGACTTTATATATTCTATATTTTTTATTTACCTACTACGTATGAGTTATGTTCTCTCACAAAACTTAACATCACGAATCCAAAACTAATAAAGATTGGGAAGAAACACAAGGATAGTCATGAGTTAGAGCCATGGATGAAAACAATTGAAATTTATATGCATCATACCTCGTGGCCTACTATGTCATTCATTAAACGACCGATCATCTTTCCAGCTCTAACAATTTTTGGATTACTTTTTAGCCATTCATATTCTTCCACTCCTGCAGCTTCTTCCATCCCAAGGAAGGATGCTGCCATAATTACCCCATAAACACTTGTGGTTAATCCATTCCGCACGTACTCATCGAATGTTGGGACATGGCCTTTAGCTGCCCATTGCGCCTCTACATGGTAGGCTCCCACCAAATCTTTGAACTAATAGCATACCCAGCAAAACCAAGATTGTGTGATAAAAAATAAGCAATATTTCTATAAATATACAATACCCGTAGAGTATGCAGGAGTAACAATGGCAATGGATAGGTATTCAATTCATTAATTTAATTTTTTATCTTATTTATAAAAATTATATTTTACCCATTATCCATTATGAAATCATCATATAAGTTTTTACCTAATTTATACTTGATCTACATTTATCCACCTATTTAGTACTTATTTGATACCCGTTAAAAATAATTTATCAAAAATATTCTTTTTAATCCCCATAATTAAAAAAAAGAAGTTTTTTGTTCCTTAAAATTTAATGTTTTACATTTTGATAATTTATTTATAAGTTTTTTTGTCTTCAAAGTTCTTTTTAAAAAATATTTTGGTTCTTAATTTTTAAAGTTTATGCAATTAGATTCATGTATGTTACTAAAAAAATTAAAATAAATTAATGGATACGAATAGGATAAAGAGTGGATATCCATATCCTATTTGTGAGTAAGTGTTTTTTTTTTTTTTTACCATTATCTTAACAGGTATTTATTGAGTGATGTAAAATACATATCCGTTTTGTACCCGGCCATTGCCATTCTTATGCATGAGCCTAGAAAAATCTTACTTCCTCCTTCACATAATATGCGGCATAGGATCTCCCTTGCTTGCTCATATCGTTCTCAGATTCTTTGAAAAGATTCAAAATAGCTCTATAAAGAACTTTCATGTAATCTGCGGGCAGCAGATCAATGGCATCCATGCAGCATCTGATATTTAAAAAGATAACCATTTATCCTTTCTTGAACATCTTTATACGATTTAACTGAATTTTTATGTTTAAGAAAGATGCAGAAAAGAAAGAAACCAAACCCCTCAATCGCATTTGTAAATTGCTGGACTTCTTCAAGAGCTGCATACGCATCACATGTATCATCTACTACTGACGCAAACTTTGTATATTTCGTGACCATCATCCGAGGAAAAGCATATTGAGGCTCGAAATGGATTCCATTTGCCCAGAAATAGATCTCCACAAGTCTATCTCTTGCATAAGGAAACTCTTCAGCAAAGTTTAAATCATTCCACCACCTGAAATGTTAATTTCCAATAAAAACTTAATCTGATTAATGGGTGGCCTGCCTCCATTTTCAGGTATCTTTCCTCAAACTCACACAAAAAGTTACCTCGAGAGAATGCAAAGTTCTTGTCGATGAAGTAACTGAACTCTATTGAAGTCTATCTTGGCAAACTTGAGTAGAATATCGTTCCGAGACTCATCTTCTTCGTAGAAAGAGATGTATTTTCTAGCCTCAATTCTTGGCACGCCTTTGTGGAAGGGCCGGACAAAGCATTCCTAATATGGTTTGCAAGATGCGTCAAGGACTTCAGGTTTTCCCTTGTGAATGCAAGGGCTTCATCCAGAATATCTTCTCCATGCACACTTAAAAATGAAGCTTCATACAAGCCAAGGATGCCTTTCACATCGTTGATAATGGTTTCCTTAAACTCTCCATTGGTGTCCGTGAACTTGTCGAACACAGCTGATTCATAAAAGGTTACAAACCCACACAAGCCAATTGTCAAAAGCTACGTGTAGATTATGAGTGATGAATTTTTTGTTTCAGAAATATTTTGCTACAAACATATTATTTTTCTTCATTTTTTTTTCTTTTCATTCATTCAGATCTCTTCGGCTACGTGGATTCTGTCATAATATTTCTTTCTTCTGAAAAAAAGGAAGAAAAGGATCTTAATTCTTCGGTGGATCCCATGGAACCTCCCACTGGAAAAAAGAAAAAAGAAGGAACATTCACGTTTAAAAGACTGTAAAGTGTAGGCACTCACCACAAGGCATTTTGTATCCATGTTGCCTGAATACTCGAAATACGACTGATACAGTGTAGAGGTCATAGTCATGATTCTTCAGAAGATTTGGAAAGTCATGGAAAATTTGTTTTAGGTTGTTTTCAATCTCTTTTTCAAAATGATATGAAACACCAAGGCGGCATAACAAATTGATGAACTGAATATTTTCCACTGGGTCGTTTTTGGAAGCCATTAACATATCCTTTGTATTGTCCTTCAACACGTCTACTTCTCGGGTGTATGTCTCGAATTCCTGCAGTAAAATATTGAGTGAGTAAAAATCTACTCACATTTATGCTATTAAATCAACTAATACAAATAAAAATGAGCTTGGTTGTTTTTTTTTTTCTCTCCCTCTTACATGGTCAGGAATATTCATTTTTGTACATAAATAGTTCGTACTTTTATTTATTTATTTTCATAGATAAGATCTTGCAACTCACATTGAATAGTTAAACGAGATAAAAGATTAGTTTTAATAATTATAAATTAGTCCAACAAGTAAGAAGAGTCATATTATTATGACAGATTGAATTGGTTACTACAATAAAGACGAGGTATTATTCTATCCTCTTTTTATAATGATTTTTTTTAAAAAAAAAATTCAAATACTTAAAAAAAATATATATAAATCAGTGACCTCTTAAAAATACAAAGGTTTATTGTTAATATTTTTTTATCTTTAATCAATATATGGACTTATAATGACGTTTAAGAACCAATCTAAATAGGGCTAAGGGTGGCTGAGGTAAAAAATAAATTAAAATAAATAAATAAAAATCTCAAATACTCTTTGCGAAAACTCCAAAATTTGGATTTGTATCAGATTGCCTTAAATATAAATTGAGATTATTAGTAATTCACAACGTGTTTTTTTTTTTTTTACTCCATTGATAATAGATTTTATAGAACTTTACTTAATCAGAACACAGAGATTTTGTTTAAAATAAACGTAACGGCTAGACATAAACATAACTACTTTAACATTGAGAAGAATGGCAACTCAATATATGGGTTTAAAAAAAAAAAAAACCTGAACAAACAAACTGTTAGACATATTTAAGAGAGAAGTAGTATACCTTTTGAGGGAAGGAAAATGAAGCAAAGCTACAACCCCACACGGTTGGAGGAAATTTTGCCACTCGACGAGAATTGGTTTCCATTTTTCGAAATAAAGTGGAGACCTATACTTTTATGCTTCACAATGTAAGGGAAGGCTATTTATAGAGAAAATAGCATTACATTTTGGTCATAAACTATCATGTCTTAAAACGTAAGTAGATTTGGCAATCTAAGATGATGACCGCCGACACAAAATTCCAAAGCAGGCTTCATTATTTCCTTGGTTTAAACTAGCTTATTTTGCAAATTTAACTAGTTAGTTTCTATAATTAACTTTTTCATTTCTTACATAACAACCGTATGACTTTATCTTTAATCTATATTTCAAGCTATTAAAAATTATTGAATTTAATTGTTGAGTTTTGTTACCATTCAAAAAATTAATTTTATGGTGAGTGGTTTGTCGTCAATATTTTGTATTGATTTGTTTCATTTTATTTATTCGATAAGAGATACTTTTTCTAGTATTTTCTTTCATTTAAAATCTATTTTTTGGTGTTGTCAAGTAATTTAAATTCCAAAATTTTTGATAGACCGTTCCACCTCTTTAAATATTAAATACCATATTAAAATTAATAGATAAATATGAATTTCACTTGAAAGACTTAATTTTTAGTGATTAGTGTCTTATTCTCAATCTTTTATATTGATTTATTTTCATTTATTTATTCGTGATATTTTTTAAAAAGTAATTATCAAAAATTTATCTCAATGTAAATAATTTAATCATTAAAACTCTGATATAAAAAAATATAATAAATTTAAAAATTTAAAATGTTGGATGATATGTAAAATTAGTTGTATATTGACTCCAACAATAATCATGTTGGTATTGGACAAAACTTTACCTAAATCGGGGATGGATTTTTCTTAAGTTCAATGTAAAAACCGTCTATTATAGAAAAACCAAGATATTATGAGAAATATCCTTTATGATGACCTATATGTCATGCCTTATTTAAATTAATACTACTTTTTATTATATATATTTATTTTGAATAAATTTTACAAGTAACAATTAAAGATTAAGAGTCTATTACTTTCTATTAGTGGGCTAAACCTATTCATGATGGATGAAAATATAAAAATTAAATGATAGAAAGGGTTTCAGTCTAACCATTTAATATTAAATAAAATCTCAAATCCCCATCAATTCAAAGAAAATTTTAAAATATTGTTATAGATTAACATGTTTTTCTTCTTGATGGCAATTAAATGTTTTTTCGTCTTGATGGCACTAATTTTTATTGTATAATTGCTTAAATACTTATTCAATTTGACTGAAGATATTTATCTTATTAATTTTCACTGTAATGATATGTTTAAGCAAATTTAATCTATCTTAGATACGATATCGATATCTTCTTACTATTTTACTATTTTGTTCAGTCAATAACTGATTATGGTTGCTACTAAAGAGAAAACGTGATTTTACAAAACATTATGCGACATCATTGGTTCAACCAGAACCACAAGCATATTGATTTGACAAGGCGGCTGAATAAATTGGAAAGGCGTTTGCCTTGTTTGTTCACCAGACAAGGGCGATGGTAGGGCTAAACATCAAAAGAAACTAAAAAAGCGTGTTGTTTTTTTGAACAATAATTACTGTTTATATATCGTTCACATATCTGAAATTACTATTCATTTATGACAATTTAAGTAATATTTTATATGGTTTTTTTTTCTTATTTTTTGTTTTTTTAGTATTAATATGTAAATTTAATATTTTTTTCTATTTTCATCTCTCATGTTATAATATATTTTTTTTTTCAATTCTTAACTTTCGTTTTTTTCTTCATTTTCATACGGCATGTGAAAATTAACATATACTTCAGTTTATATTACTCTTATTATTTAAATTTCATTCTCTAAATTTATAATTTTTTTTATGAAAATTCTCATTCAATTAATATTTTTTATATAAAATTCTATTTATTGATAAATATAATTCATTTTTCTCTATATTTTAATTTTAGAATAAAATTTTAAAACATGATTGTTTTTTCTTTATTTTAAATAAATTCGTATAATATATATCATGAATTTTTAGAATTTTTAAATGGTAGTTGCATGTATATATACATATTATTCTAAAAGGTTAAAAGTGTATTTCGGATAATTTGTCTAAGTTCATTAGATATGATCATAACGTATAAAAAACTATTGAATCATCGTTTTTATTAAAAATTAACTATACGTCTTTCAAGATTATACAAATTATTTTCTATAAATATGTTTTTAACGAGTATAGAACAAATTTATTTGAAATAAAACAATTCAAATATTTTTTTAAAGAAACCAACCAATTATTTAAATACAGTTTTTATATTATTATTATTGATTATTTTGTGTGTGTGTGTGTGTGTGTGTGTGTGTGTGTGTAGATGAAATGCATATACTTTTAAAAAACATAATCTTCTCATCAACATTAAATAAGGATAAAATTTTATTTTTTCATTAGTTGATTTTTATGCAAGTCTATACATTAATTGTAACTTTATTTTTTGAATACATTCTTATAAAAAAATTATTCTTAAAGTAATTTTTTGAATTCTTAGTTAATATTTCAGCTTTAAATTATTACAAGTTTTTATTTAAGAATCTATGAATAACAAAAATAAATCATTTTTAAGTAGAAATTTTATTAAAAACCAAAAAAAAAATAATTAAATAAATAAATTAATGAAAAAATTATAAAATTTTGAAATAATTTTGTTCTATTTATCCGTAGCGTTACTCGGATAATTTAAAAAATTAATCTTCTCATCAGCATTAAATAAGATTTTTTTTTAATTTGTTAATTTTTATAAAAGTCTCGTCCATTAATTATAAATTTATTTTTTTGAATACAATATTATGAAAAATATATTTTTAAAATTTTTTAAAATTCTTGATTAATATTTCAGTTAAAATTATTAGAAGTTTTTATTTTAAAATCAATCCATAAATAAGAATGAATTATATTTTTTTAAGTAAAAAATTTATGAAAAAAATTAGAAAAATTAATTAAAAAATTTTTAAACAATTTTGTTATCTCAAAATAGCAAGCATAACATGGGCGACTCGCTAGTTATTTCTATATTACCATATCCTTTTGTTTTTATGAAAATCCAAATAGCAAAATTGACAGGAGTGCAAACAACATAATTATCATCGTGTGTGTGTGTGTGTGTGTGTGTATTCAAGCATTAACATGAACATGGTCGTGCGTGGTGAATATTTACATGCATACATTTTGAGTTTTTACTATCATTTTCATAACCAAAAAATCATATCCATTTTATAATTTTAATTTTTAGTTATATTTTTCTTTTATTTATCATTTATTCCATTTTTTTTATTTTAGTTTAGTTTATTTCACTTTTATTTGAATTGTTTTTTTTTTTTTTTTTGGAGAAGAGAAACATAAAAACAAAAATACAAAAAAATTCACCAAGGGACACAATCGTATCAAAAGAAAGTGCAATTAAAGTATTTAGGGATACAATTGAATAATCAAGAAATCTAGAACTTGAATTACTCCCTATTGGGGACCAATTGATAAAAATCATACTTTACAAGATTGAAATTACATGAAAAGAGGCACGATTGCGGATAATTAAAATTCACTAGGACCAAATTGAAACTTTAAAGTGAACGACAATACTAATATCAAGTAGACGACTTATCATCCACTTCAACCTAGAATCTCTCCGAAAGTCTTTCAGCAATCTTTCCAAATCTCCCATTGATTATGTTTTTCTTGAAATGCATCTATTTGATTCTTAGTTGGATTTGATACCGACCAAGAATCACATCTCGATGATTTAGTTTTTTTGTGTTAGCTAATCAAATCTCAAAATTGAGATTTGGTAGCTGAAATTCGAGATTGACTAATTGATTCTAGAAGAAACTAGGTTTTTTGCTCGCGCTACGCTACGGGTAGGATAAAATATATAAAATCATTTAAAAAAATAATTTAATAGTTTTTTTTTTTATAGTGTGAATGTATAAAAATATAAGAAATCAAAGGTGAAAACAATATTTTAAATTTTGTAATGTAATTTGAAATTAAATGGATGAGATTTTAAAAAAATGACAAATTAAAGTAATAAATTTAAAATAATAAAAAAATCAACAAAAAAATTTCATTTAAAAAATAAAAACATTATTTTCAAATTATAATGATATATTTAAAAAATAAAACACCGACGTTCTAAAATTTTATTTCAAAATTCATATATTAAAAAAATAAAATTATTAACAAATAAAATTAAATCAAAAATTATTTTTATGTGAATTTTAATAAGAAATAAATAATTAAATAATTAAATAATTAAATTTAAACAATAAAAGTAAGATAATCATATATATCATCTTTAAACTTTATGAAAAACTAAAAAAATAACAATTTTTTTATATTTTTAAATTTTTTTATTTGGTAGGCTTTTTTCTTAATTTTTTTTCTTATATATATATATATATATATATATATATATAGAGAGAGAGAGAGAGAGAGAGAGAGAGAGAGAGAGAGCGTTCGGTTGCAAGCCAACCGGGACAGGCGGCCGGTTAGCTTGTGCAATCGAGGTTGCACGTATTAAAAACAATGTGAGGGAGGCTAGGCATGGTTAGCCTCTCGCAGGCGAGCCGACCTCTTGGGGCTACCATTGCGAGCCCAAGCTCTAGGCTTGCTTGTCGAAAAAAAAAAAAAAACAAACCTACAACTTTGGACAAACTCCAAGTCGTCGAGAAATCAAGGGTCAACTTTTAGACCCCTAAAAATTGAATTTTCGCATCATTTTTTTCTCAAACACCTCTAAATGATCGAAATAAAGCCAATAAATACATCTAAAACCTTAAAAATCATTTTAATTCATATAAAAATAAAGAAAAATACAAAATCAAATCAATTTTTTTTTGTTTTTTGGCTCCGATATACCGCCTCTAATTGTTTAATGGCTTGAAACCACTATGGACAAACTCATCTCTCAAAGATAAAAAAATCTAGTAGATTTTCGTTGGCGGAATGGCCTAAATGACCTTGGTTGATGATCTC